TTCTGGAGACTGAACATCCCCAACTCCCTCAGTCTTTCCTCATCACTGAGGTGCTCCAGTCCCTTCAGCATCTTCCTTGCCCTCCCCTGGAGCTGCTCCAGGAGCTCCATGTCCCTCTGGTCCTGAGGATCCAGAACTGGACACAACTGCTCTTCATGCTATCCTCAAGAGGAAAAACATCTTCATAAAACAATGTCCAGTGATCCCTTCTGTTGAGATATTAAAGAGGAGCTTGCTTGTGTCCTTGCACCTGCTTCCTCCTCCCATTCCACCTTCACCCTGTCTCTCCATCTCCCACCTGTGAAAGGGTGGGATGTAGACATCCAGGTTGGATCTTGCTTCTCTGAAGGTTTCAGCCACCCCCTAAGCACCTGTCACCCTGTCACCCTCTCATGACTCACAGCTGGTTGTGACTCTTCAAAGTCATTTCATTATGTTTGGGGTGTTATTTGTTATGTCAGGATGTCAGGCAGGCAGTGGCATATCCTGCGGAAGAAGTCACACACTGTGCTCAGGATGAGTGAACTGCTCAGACAGATCTTGAAGAACCTCAGTGCAGTGAAACCTTCGTGGTTAGCTGCTGAGGATAGGAAAGCTGAAGGTTTGCTCTGTTACGTGTTTTAAAAAAAAAATTGTAGTCACATCTCCGTGTCTAAAATTTCTTTAAAATAAATTTTTTATTTCCAAAAATAATCATAAGAAAACTGTATTTACTTTAGTTATCTACTTTCTCTAGTAATGAGATCATCAGCCAAGACTGATTCCTGCTCTGCTCTTACAGGTGAGGGCAGCCTCACCTGGAATATTGTGTGCAGTTTGGGCACCCCATTGTAAGAAAGATATTAAGTTATTGGAGAGTTTCCAGAGGAGGCAATGAAGATGGTGAAGGACATTGAGGGGAAGCCACATGAGGAGTGACTGAGGTCACTTGGGCTGTTCAGCTGGAGAAGAGGAGACTGAGCACAGAGCTCATGGCTGGTACAACTCCCTCAGGGAAGGAAGTGCAGGGACAGGAGCCAGGGAATGGGCTGGAGTTGTGTCAGGGCAGGGTTAGGCTGGAGATTAGCAACTGGTTCTTCTTTCCCCAGAGGTGTTTGGGCCCTGAACAGCTCCCAGGGCAGTGTCACAGCCCCAAGGCTGACAGAGCTCCAGAGGTGTTTGGCCAATGCTCTCAGCACAGGGTGTGACTGTCAGGGATGTCTGTGCAGGGCAGGGGTTGGGCTGGATGATTCTCAAGGGTCCCTTCCAACTCTGATTAATCTATGAAGAAGGAAAGAGATTTCTTGAGAATCTGTTACATGATTGTGAAAATACACACTCTGCATGAGCTAAGTGGAGATAAGATCTTGTAAAGATGTTGTCTCCTATTTTTATTCTGCTACACCACAATGAGAAGAATTTCTTAGTCCACCCTCCACTATGATTCTGTCACTGCTTGGAACTTGGATCCAACCTGATGCTGCACTCAGGTATCCTCAGATCTCTTGACACCAGGTGTTGAGGCAGAGCCACTGTGGGGGTTTGCAGGTGCTGTGGGGTGCACCCTTCTCCCCAAATAACACTTTCTTCTTTTCATTTGCTCAGCTGGTGACAGGAGTATTGGAAGGAGGATACAATTTCTACTGTCAGGATACACACAGTGGAGGAGAAGCTGATATGAAGGTACTGTAATCGAGACTTAGAGCTGGTAATGTTTCAAATCATCTGCTTGAAGTGTAAGTGGAGAGCAAAGCAGTATTGGTTATGCACTTTTTGCTTAAATTCTATGCTCATTTTTCCCTCCTTTTGCAATACAATGGAGAGTGCACTGTCAAATGTGATAGATAGTCTACAATATATTCATGGCTGGTGTTTTGGTGAGTAATTATGAGTGAATTTTCAACTGTTCCCAGGTCAAAGAACATGACCTTGCTCTTCAGACTATGTCCAAACACTGTGTGTTGTGACTCCCCGTCTCTTTCTGAGATGTGGTAATGATTTCTTCTGGTCACACTCCTGACCTCTCCTTTCCAGGGGCACTGCAGCACCAGCTCTGGTTAAATATTTTCTTGTTTCTCTCAGGACACTGTTTTTCCCTGTAAGTGTGGTCAGGCACTGGAATAAGTTGGCCAGGGAAGTGGTGGAGTCACCATCCCCAGAGGTGTTTCAGAGGTGTCTGATGTGGCACTGGAGGATCTGGGTTAGGGTTTAGGGGTTCCAGCAGTGACAGGTTAATGGTTGGACTGGATGATCTTAGAGGTCTCCTCCAACCTTGGTCATTGTATGATGCCCTGGGTGCACAGCAGTAGCCTCATAAACCAGTCCTTTTTTCAGCTCTAGCTAAGGGTTTGCACCTGGAATCTCTGTAGAGAGACCTGAGGCAGAAGCATTACAAAAGATCTAGCAGTGTCTTCAATCCAAGCAGTGCAGGACAGTGTCTGAATTTTAGTTCCTTAGCAATCAGAAGGCTTGACAGCCCCACAACATGCAATGTTGCTAAAGCTTTTTTCTCCTCTCTAGATCATACGTGTCCTCTGGTGGTATTATTTCTCCAAGCTCATTGAGTTCATGGATACCTTCTTCTTCATTCTGCGGAAAAATAATCATCAGATCACTGTTCTGCATGTCTACCACCATGCAACAATGCTGAACATCTGGTGGTTTGTTATGAACTGGGTGCCTTGTGGTCACTGTAAGTACTAGGTTATGGTGGGAAAATTCTGCAACAAGGGCTTTGGTTTTCCTTTGGTCAAACCAGACATCTCTGGTACCTTCAGCTGCAGGATTTGTTCTGGCCCACGTTAAGCTGCTTTGCAACTATTGCAGATAGCTGCAGGAATTAAGGTGCCAGCACAGCCTCTAGGAATTTCCTGTTCATGTAGTTTGAAGAATTCATGTGGCAGTGTGACATTTCCCAGCTGCAATAGTCCAGGTCAGATATCCATCAACATTGCTTTCTCTGTTCTTGAGGTACTTGCAGACCCTCTAATGAAACAATACACATCTTTTCAAGCCAGGACCAGAAGTTTGTTTCAGCTGCAAGACAGCTCACAGTCCTTGTATCTGTCAAGTTCACTTGAGATGTTACTTTCTTAATTTAATCTCATTATACCACTAGCCATAACAAATGATTTCAATTTAAATCTCGTCCCCTGAGCGCTAAGGAACATGACCAGATGCATCTGAAGTGGAAGATTTCCTGTCTGTCTTGTCTAAATCCTGCTAACCTCTGGCAATCTGGCTTTGATTCTTCACTTTCATTGCATTTAGCTGGCATCTAGTTTCCTAATTGCATTAGGATGGCTGAGTTGTGGTTCAGACGTGCAGCTCACAGATACTATTGGACTCTCCATCCAAGAGAAACCCTTTCAGATCCAGTGGAGATGCACTGCTGGCAGGGCAGGCCAAGAGGCTGTGTTCCTCAGGAGTTTGCTCTCTGAGCCAAACAACATAGACATTCACATTTGATTTGTGTTGTCAGCATGACGGTGAGTAATGCTGAACTTACATGAAATGTGCAGCTGGAAACACATTTACCTCCCAGGAAATCAATCCCTGCTTACACAACAGTCAAAACTGCAGGTACTGAAGAGTCTGCCTTGTGTTCGTGTGCTCTTGGAAATACTTTTGTGCTATTTCTAGTCACCTGGTTTTTCTTCTTCCAAGCTTTATGTTCTGCTTGGTCATCACAGTTTTGTGCATAAGCTAAACGTTTCTTTAATGGCTAAAGGTGCTGTCAACAAGGACAAATAAAATGGCCAACTTGCAGTTTCTGAAGACATCTGTTGGGTTTGATTAGAAATGACAAAATAGGCTCCTGCCTGGAAGTGATGTAAGCCCAGAAGTAGCTGGGTGAAGCTCTCAGGTGTTGGGAACATGAATGTGCCTCTTTTCTATCAGCCTCCTCAGCTCCCTTGAGGAACCATAATCTGGATGCAAAAAGGAGTAACTCAAGGAAACAAAACCAGGAGGCTGCTGCAAAGTGCACAGCTGCAAAGCAGCTCAGCTACTCCCATTGGATGAGCAGAATAGAAATCAGAGTGGGAAAAAAACCCCTCTTGCTTTTCTTCTAAGAGAAATCATGTTTTAAATAGTAACATTTTGAACTTGTTATTTTGGTAGGGTCCATGAAACAGCATGTTCCTTCCTGGTAATGCAGTGTACCTTCTCTTTTTTCCCTTGCCCTTTTTTTAGCTTATTTTGGTGCCACACTGAACAGCTTTATCCATGTCCTCATGTACTCCTACTATGGATTGTCTGCTGTTCCAGCAATGCGTCCTTATCTGTGGTGGAAGAAGTACATCACTCAGGGGCAGCTGGTGAGTGATTTGCTCTTCATTGCTTCAGCAGGCTCTTGTATTCCTGATGAAGTCCTTTTGTCTTTCCTGAGGTAGGAAATTTTGGCAGGGGTTGAAAGAAGGGGGAACAAGCTGGTGCCTTATAGATCTTTTAGTGTTTCACCAGCTTCTGCAGCTCTGTTTTTCCAGGATGGTGGGGAGCTGGGGGGTTGTGGTGTACATGAATTGAGATCTGTGGGATATTTCTTCACCCCACCATGTTGTATGGGCTATTTGGGAGTTGTGCTGGGTTTTCTGGGAGCCAGGGAGGAGGGAGAAGCTTTTCTTCCAGCCCTGCTTGAGTGAGTGTGCTCTTCTCTGTGCTTGGTTGGTTGGGCTGATAGACCAGAAACCAGAGCAACATAGTCCACAGCTCATATGGCTTATTCTAAGCCTGTGGGTGCAATGTCCTTTCTGTCTCACTTTTGCATGCAGTTGCAGATGGTTTATTCATAGAATCATAGAATTTTAGGGATTGGAATGGACCTTACAGATCACCCAGCCCCAACCCCTGCCCTGGGCAGGGACACCTCCCACCAGAGCAGGTTGCTCAAGGCTCATCCAACCTGGCTGTGAACACTGCCAGGGTTGGGGCAGCCACAGCCTCCCTGGGCAACCTGGGACAGGGTCTCACCACCAGAACAGGGAAAACTTCTTCCTGATATCTAACCTAAATTTCCCTCTTTGTCCCCATGTCCTATCACTGGAGCTCCTAAACAAGAGTCCATCTGCAGCTTCCCTGGACCCCTGTGCTTGTGTCTCACCACCCTCACAGGAAAACACTTTTGCCTGATAATCAAACCTAAATTTACACTGTTTAAATTTGTACCCACATTTGTACCCATTTTAGTAAAAGCTGTGCAGTATTTCTGCACTCTCTCTGCACTTCAAATGGGCAGATTTTCTTCTCTTGTAGTTGTCTTGGACTCCTTGTACCCATTTGCATTGTGGCCAGTGTTGAAGCCTGAAGGCTGTGAAAAGAGCAGTGAAATCAAGCAGTGTGGCACATGCAGTAGTGATACTGCACAAGAACCAGGTTTCAATGTGTACAACGTCAGAACACCATGAGGAAATGTGCAGGAGTGTTGTTGTGTCTTCCCCATTTTGTAGGGGGGAAAAGCTGAAGCCTAGAGATAGACGTTTTTTTAAAATTATCTTCTCCCCACCCACCCCTCCCTTTCACATTCAGAGCTGTGAATAGTTCTAATAACATTTGCTGGTGATGAATAATAACATTTGCTGCCAGTGATTCAGAGTGTTGATGTTCAACATCTCTATTTCTTCTAGCACTCTGCTTCCTGAAGGATGGTGAAGCATTGTAGCAGTGGGCTCATTTGTTTTTGTTTTTTTGTGGGAGAGTTGCCTTGGTTTGGGATGTGTTTTTGTTTTCCCTTCCAGATTTAGGCTCTATTCTTCCTGCTGCTGTTGAAGTGCTGCAGAGTGCAGTGCCTTAGTGCTTGGTTTGCTCCCCTGGCTATTGTCAGCTGCTTTCCCTTCCTTGCCTGCTCTGCATGCATAGCTCTTAGGGCAGCAAAATAGCAGAGCAGAACAAACAGTCTTTCCCTTTTTAAATAAACATTCCCTAATCTGGTAGCCTGCATGTAAGGATGAATTTTGCTTAAGGCTCTCTGCAGCACTTAACCCCAAACTCTTGCTTTCTACCAAGAGGAACTGAAGGTGATTGAACCCCAATCCCCCTCCCTGACTCCTCTGCTTCCCTGCAGCCTTTACCCCAAACATTCTTCCACTGGGGCCATATGTCAGACAGTTCCTGTCTGTGGGAAGGGATTGCAGGGTCTAAGTGTAGGCCAAGTGACGCCAGATGTTTTGGAGCTCATGCAGATCTGCTCTGTTACGATGACAGAGTCAAACCCCAAGGAGCTCTCACTAGGAGGAAGGTGTTCTTTGTTCCTTAGGATATTTCATAGAATCACAGAATCATAGAATTTAAGGGTTGGAATGGAACTTACAGATCATCCAGCCCCAACCCCTGCCCTGGGCAGGGACACCTCCCACCAGAGCAGGTTGCTCAAGGCTCATCCAACCTGGCTGTGAACACTGCCAGGGTTGGGGCAGCCACAGCCTCCCTGGGCACCCTGGGACAGGCTCTCACCACCAGAACAGGGAAAACTTCTGCCTAACATCTAGCCTAAATCTTCCCTCTTTCAGTGTGAACCCATTTCCCCTTGTCTATCACTGCAGTTCCTAACACAGAGTCCATCTGCAGCTCCTTGTTGGCCCTTCAGAGATTGAAAAGTTGCTCTGAGGTCTCCACGAGTTTTATAGATCAATTCTACATAAATTACTCAAATGCTCTAAAATGGAGCAATATTAACCAAATAAACACACCTAAACAAGAGAATGCCACAAGCTGGACTCAGGTTTACAGAGAACATAAACTTTTCAAACAGACAGTATCACCTCCTGGTTTATTTGTTGAGATTTTGGTCACTAAGAGCTTTTTTTTTTTTTTTTTCTCCTTCCATTAATGTACTCCCTTTTCTTTTTTTTGTTTTCTCTCCCCAGATTCAGTTTGTCCTGACAATCTTCCAGACCAGCTGTGGTGTTGTTTGGCCATGTGCATTTCCTCAGGGCTGGCTGTATTTCCAGATTTCTTATATGATTTCTTTGATTATCCTCTTCACAAATTTCTATATTCAGGTAAGAGTAACATTTCTCAGCTCTTCCCTGCATTCTGCTGGCTGTGCCTCACTGGAAAGCTATTTTTACAGACAGATATGCTTGAAATCTCCTTTTGCTATCTTTGACTTAGAACTTAAAGTACTGCACTTGATCTACTCTCCACTCTCAAATCTGCTAATGTTTTGTGTCCATAATCTGCAATGATTAGTAATTTCAGTGAGCAATGGCTTAAAAAACTGGCTTCCTAGTGCAATTTCAACTGCAGATAAAGGAGAGGAAGAGCTTGATGTAAGAAACAAACCAGCAGTGTGTGAACCTGTGAAGCACCTGAAGGAATTGTTCATGACAAGGGGAAATGCTTGTTTTATATCCAGGGAAGCTTCCTAAACTCCCAGAAATCTGATTTTGGGTCACCTTTACAGACATTTGTTTGTATTTTCATGTGGAAAATGAGTGTTTTGAGTTGTGTTCCTGCAAAGCTGATTTCATGTCTGAACAGATCCAGACTTGGTATATGTTGGACTGAGCAGGTCATACTTGGGCTCTGTGCAAAGATGTAATACTCTTTGGAAAATCAAACCAGCAGAGCCTGCTGCCCCCAACAAGCAAACTCTATTGCTTGTTTTAAATGTCCCTTGAGAGATTTGAACATTCTGGTTCTGGTAGGGATGATTTCCTGGGGGGAAACACAGCAGGTTTCCCCATCTGATCTTCTGGTGCTTCTTAAAATAAGTCCCATGCTTCATATCACTTGCTGCATACAACTTTATTGACTTTCTTCATCAATTTTACTCATATTTTAACTTTAAACCATTTAACTTCCTTTCACACACAGAAATCTTGGGCAATGTGTTTTTTGCCAGGCAACTGAGCCCTTTGACAAAGACTAATTAATATGTATTTTTTCGCTGTATGTAATTTTTTTAGAGCCTTCCGCTGAGCCCTTTGACAAAGCCTAATTAATATGTATTTTTTTGCTGTATGTAATTTTTTTAGAGCCTTCCCTGATCCTGTTAGATTTTGATACTCATGTTGGCCAGTGGAAATGCATTTCCAGTTTCTGTCTCTGAACTTCCCTCACTGTTCTTGTTTACTTACTTCTTGTTCTGGCTTTGCTCAAGGTACTGTCACCTGCAGTGCCTCCAACATTCTTCCTCACATGTTCTGAGTATATTCTTACTCTCTAGTCTGCTCATAAAATCACTTTCCTTATGATTTATGCTTGATATAACACTACTATCAAACTGCCAAGTCTTTTTCTTTTCAAGTGCACTAATTCTCTTGCTGTGATGAATGAAAGAGACAGTATAGTCTCACACGCAAAAAGTGGTGGAGCTTGTTAGACTCTACCACTGGCACAAGGTGTTTAAAAAGCATAGAATCATAGAATTTTAGGGGTTAGAATGGACCTCAGAGATCATCTAGTCCCAACCCCTGCCCTGGGCAGGGACACCTCCCACCAGAGCAGGTTGCTCAAGGCTCATCTAACCTGGCCTTGAACACTGCCAGGGTTGGGGCAGCCACAGCCTCCCTGGGCACCCTGGGACAGGGTCTCAACACCCTTGCAGGAAAAACTGCTTCCTAATATCTAATCTAAATTTCCCTCTTTCAGTTTGTCCCCATTGCCCCTTGTCCTGTCACTGCAGTTCCTAACACAGATCCCTCTGCAGCTTCCCTGGAGCCCCTTCAGATACTGATAGGCTGCTCTGAGGTCTCCACACAACCTTCTCTTCTCCAGGCTGAACAGCCCCAACTCCCTCAGCCTGTCCTCACAGGGAGATGCTCCAGTGCTCTGAGCAACTTCGTGGCCTCCTCTGCACTCGCTCTGACAGTTCCATGTCCTTCTCACACTGAGGACACCAGAGCTGTGTGCAGCATTCCTTTAGGGTCTCACCAGAGCAGAGTAGAGGGGCAGAATCCCCTCCCTTGCCCTGCTGCCCACACTCCTGTGGATGCAGCCCAGGATTCCATTGGTTTCTGGGCTGAGCTCACACTGCAGCTCATGTTGAGTTTCTCATCCACCATCACCCTCAACTCTCTCCTCATTGCTGCTCTCTCTGTCTTCCCCACCCAACCCATAGCTGTGCCTGGGATTGCCATACAAATGATGAATGCAAGTTTACTTTGTGCCTCTGGAGTCGTGAGGAAGTGGTTCTTTATATCTAATTAAGCAAAACCATGTGTCTTTCCCTGTATCCTAGACTTACAACAAGAAGGCATCCTCGAGGAGGAAAGAGTATCAGAATGGCTCCACAGCCACTGCCAACGGGTACACAAACAGCTTTTCTTCCCTTGAGAACAATGTGAAACAAAGGAAACAAAGGAAGGATTGAAGCCCAAACTGAAAAACCATTTTGATAACCCCCAACAATGAAATCATCTGATTGTAAGCACAATGAGAGTTGTGCACTAATACTCTAATGGCTACTGTAACTATTCCTGCCTAGAATAGTGTGATTTATGTAGGACTTAACCAGTGCAAACACCCTAGAAAACTGTATCCAGAACATAAAAGTAGGTTAAAAGTGTAAAAATAACTCTGGGCTGTCACTGACCCCGCTATAGACTGTGGAAGGGAGTATTATCATAGTACCCAACACTGCTGTTGCCTTACTAGTCGATATGATAGGTGCTGAACTATGATTCACAATTTGAGAACACTGTAATCTAAACCTCCATTTTTTTTACTATAGGTCATGCATGTGATTGTAGAGGTGATTTGTATGATGCTGGTTTCAGTAGATAAACACAACATGCCTTAAATTTAAAAAAAGCAGGGCCCAAAGCTTATTACTGGTTTAAAAAAACAAAAAATTAAAAAAAAAAATTAGGGTATGTTCTCAACTCTTTGGTTGACTGACTTTTTATTAAAAAGTCATTTAGAAGAATCCATGGATCATTTTGCTGTTCTGTGTGTGATACATGAGGTTGAGTATCTCCTACGTGACACAGTGAAATTGGAAATGGCTCAGTTAGTTTTGTATATTTGGCTTTAATTGACTAAACCAGTCACAAACTAGATGGAAAAAAAAAGTTATTTTACCTTTTGAATAGATCTTATTTTTTTATTTGAGGTATGTCACTAATGGCAAAGGAATTGGCTCTTACACAGTCCAGTGAGATTTAAACAAGGTTTTCTTGCCTCTGAGGTTTAATTGTCTCTAAGGTTTAGAGCATATACAGGGTGGACCCATCTATTTTCACTTTTCTTTCTTACTTCTGAGAATCCTTAAATGCTAAGTGAAGAGTGAGTTTTTAACATGAAACTGGCAGAGTTTCAAGTGTTATTACCATAGCCATATCCACGTTTTAGCTCCTGTGACATATCCAAAAGCATATTGAAAAGTGGAGACAGAAAGATGCTTCTCTGATGGGATTGTCTGTATTTAAGTTGGTCTCTGAACTGTTCTTCATGTAGCATATGTTCACTTTTACAATGTGCCTAACACAAAGGTGGTGATTCCTCCCCCCCAACCCCCAACCAAGCAAAATTAAACAGTCTTAATCGTTTTTTTAAATGTTACTGAAATGTGCTGGAAATGTCTGTTTGTGTAATGTGAGTTGTGTATATCACTGGTAACGTTTTGGCTTGTTCTCTGAGGATTTGGTTTGAGTGCTGGTTAAAGTGACTCCTCCTTGTCACATCTTGCCTTGCACTTGTGAGGAGTCAGTTGCAAAGCCTCTTACTGGTGTTGCTGGTATTCTGGTACCTGCCATGGTAGAGCTTGGCTGGTGAATATTTTCATTCATGAAGCCCCAGAAAGATGGAATTGTGCAAGACATTCTGCTGGTCATTGCTCAAGTTTAACTGTTTTGTTTTGATATTTATATAAATGCCAGTTTTAACATGTTTTAATTGTTTTTAAATCTTTTTTTTTTTTTTTAAAAGAAAAAAAAGTTTTTTGCACATCTCTTAGGGAATTAATAAGTTCTCCTACTAGCCTTTGTGGGTTTTCATTCCTTGTTTTGAAGGAGACAGTGTCTGTTATGTTTACATTATCAAAGCTTGTGCGTGTGTCTTCATTTCTAGGTACTGGTTTGCAGAGTCTTTACATAGCTCAGTACAGCAGCTATAATGTTCAAAATAGGCTGTTAAATGTGCTAGAAATAAACCCTTGGCTCATCTGAATATACTTCATTGTTAATGTTTGACATGGTTTAATCATTAAAACACTTTTGATGATCTCTGCCTGAATTCTGTGGCTTTGTACAGATTTCATGCATTGCCCCAGCCAGGCCAGGGAGGAGCCAGCCCTGATGGGAGAAGAGCTGCAGATACTCAGAAAAATTTAGCTTACCAGAGATTTGGTAACAAACTCTTTACAGAAACCTTTGGCTGTTACTGAACACTGTCCCTTTGCCTGGCTGTAGAAATCCTGGGATGGATTAAACCTCCTGCTGAGGTTACTGACTCACTGAATGCAGAGCAGCCCAAACAGCTCCAAGGTGCTGAGTGCCAGGAGCAAAGCTTAACGTGTCTGAGAGGGACTTTCTGCCTCATCCAGCCTGTCCATAGAATGGGGATAATACCTCCCTCCAGAATGGGAGCATTTTTGCAATTTCCTTACTGCTCCACTTGCCCTTAATTGTTTTGGAGCTCTCTCTGATTTCAGGGTTTAATCATAGAATCAACCAGGTTGGAAAAGACCTCCAAGATCATCAAGTCCAACCCTCCCGTGGTCACTAGCCCATGGCACTAAGTGCCACATCCAGTCTCAGCTTGAAAACCTCCAGGGATGGTGAATCCACCACCTCCCTGGGCAGCACATTCCAATGCCTGAGCACTCGCTCTGCAAAAAATCTCTTCCTAATCTCCAGCCTAACCCTCCCCTGGCAGAGCTTGAGTCTGTGCCCTCTTGTCCTGCTGCTGGTTGCCTGGGAGAAGAGACCAACCCCCACCTGACTCCAACCTCCTGTCAGGGAGTTGCAGAGGGTGAGAAGGTCTCCCCTGAGCCTCCTCTTCTCCAGGCTGAACACCCCCAGCTCCCTCAGCCTCTCCTCATGCCACTTGTGCTCCAGTCCCTTCCCCAGCCTTGTTGCTCTGCTCTGGACCTGGACCTTGCTAGGACAGTATCTGTCCTTTTCCTGCACATGTCAATTCAGCTTTGAGATTGAGGGTTTTTCTAAGTGAGGCTCAGTAAGGTGTAGGTCTTTGGATGATAAATCAGATCTGCAGGAAGTACCTAGAAGGCAGAAGCCACAGCACCAACATGGCCTTCACCAGTGAGCCAGTGCAGATGGGGCTGCTGTGCTCCAAACCTCATCTTCAGGGTCAGGGGCACATGGTGACAAAGCATGGTGACTTTACCATCTTTTGGCACCAGGTAGACCCAGTGACTTTGTCCAAAACTGCCAGGAGATGTGGTCTTGGGAATGTGTATAGCATCAGTAGTGCTCACACCTGCACTGAGAAAATGTGGCTCCTGGGTGCTCTTCTACAGTCTCAGCACCAACTGAAGAGTATCTGAGAGCTGTATGGGTTAGATCAGACATCATCTTACCATAACTGATGGACCAAGACATGAGCCTTGGCTCTGCCCACCTGGCTCAGCGTCCCATGTGTTACCTGCCCTGGGGCAGCTAACAGGCTTTGGGCAGCCTCAGTTCCCTGATCACCTGCAGGTTTCCTAAAAGACATAGCTGTGATTGGTGCTTGGGATTGTGGAAGAGGCCTCAGAAAGGACTTCTTGAGTTGTAAAGGCTGGAGAGATGAAAAAAAAAAAGACCAACACCTGCCAACAGGACACAGGTTTCATGTAAAGTTGGCTGAGGAGAATGAGACAGTTCAGTCCCTATTTGCAGAGTGACTGACCAAGCTTCAACCTCTTAGGTTAAGATCTTGACCAGCTCATGAGCTGATCAGATCCCTCCCTGTACTCAGGCCCTACAGCCTGAGTGATGGAGAGAGGTGTGTTAAGCTTTTGTTCAGCTGTGAATGAGACAGGTAAGCTCAAATGCTCCAGACTTAGCTTTTCTTAGGGTGGTCCTGGTGTGAAGTCCCTGAGTGCTGTGTCAGAGATGTGCAAAGCCACCCCTGGGGCTGGGAGCACTCAGGCTCTGGGATTCCTGAGTTGGCAGAGAGTAGTGGAAAAGCAGAGAATAATTCTGGAAATCTTTGTGGTTGATTGTGTATTTTACTTGATGAAAGGCAGAGCCTAAGTAAGAGCTTCTAATAGGACTCTACCACCAACACTGGGGCAAAGAAACCCCCAAAACCCCAAACCTAATGGAGAGTTGGTCTGGGGGTTGCCTCTGCCTTTGATATTTAGTAGCTGTCTTGAAGTGTAAGTTGATAAAATGCATCTCTCGTATGAGACTGGAATGTGTTTTTAAAAGGTGTATGTTCAGAAAAGAGATGTTAAAAGGTGGACACTGAAGAAAAGTGTAAATCAAATTAGAGGCCAAATTACCTTGACTGAGGGTTCTGCTGGGAATCCCCTTGAGGCAGTGATAAAACATAGAGATCTGCTAGAGAAATGGGTTGCATTGCTACAGAAGATTAACTTACATTGTCACTGTCATCCTCTTGCCAAGAATTACTGACCCAACGAAAGGGATTAGTTGTAATCATCAGGGTGTCTCAAGTCTGGCTTGAAAAGCAAACCTGAATTCAATTTTCAGATTTTAATCCCTTTAATTGGAATAGATGGAGGCACAAAACAAGGTCCATATGTTTCTCAGTTTCAGTGCAGCACATTTGGATGAGCAGGGGAAGGCAGAGTCTCCAGGGGCTCCCATGGCACAACAGTAGCAGAGACATTAGGTTTGAAGTCAAAATCATCTCAAACAGGAGCAGGTCCAGAGCAGAGCAACGAGGCTGGGGAAGGGACTGGAGCACTAGTGGCATGAGGAGAGGCTGAGGGAGCTGGGGGTGTTCAGCCTGGAGAAGAGGAGGCTCAGGGGAGACCTTCTCACCCTCTGCAACTCCCTGCCAGGAGGTTGGAGTCAGGTGGGGGTTGGTCTCTGCTCCCAGGCAACCAGCAGCAGGACAAGAGGGCACAGACTCTTACCTGGACTAGGTAGTACTTTTAGTCCTGAGAATTATCATCTAAACTGGAAGGTGTGGTGACCAGCAACAGGATCCATGGGCTAGCAAGGTGAAGCTGATGAGAAGATGGCTCGATGCTTCCAGCCTGGACAGAGCCCATTAATAGTGTTTCAGTAGTGACCCTGGTATAAAAACCAGGAATGTTTGCAGCAATGTTTGGAGATGACAACATCAGGAAGCACTGTCAGTGCCAAGGAAGATTACATATCCTGCAGCAGCAACCAGATGACCTTGAGGGCTAGAGGAAGACATGGGATTAATATAAATACCTCTTAGGCACCAGCAACAGAATTTCAGCTGTTTCCATGGGAGTTTTAGTTGGATGTGACTGAAGAGAAGGAAAGATATTTGACAGTCATTTGTTCAACAACTTGAGAGCTGCTAGTATGAAAAAAGAGAGGTGAATAAAGTCTTATTTGCTTACAGCAGAGTGGCAGCTAATGGTTGGACTCGATGATCTTAGAGTCTCTTCCAACCTTGATTTTATGATACTAATGGTCCATTTCCAATGGAAGGAGGGATGTGCTAGAGTGAGAGGATGAGGCTCAGGCTCTGGTGGGACTTTCTTTTGATGAATACACCTGCTCTCAAGAAAACTGATGCTAAGAGACCCACTGTACAGGTCTGGTATGGTCAGAAGTGGAGAAGTCCTGCAGAACAGATGTGTAGCAAGACCAGGTCAAGAAGGGATGTGGTCACAGCCAACACTGACATCACAACAGTTGTCAGCATGAAGGAAAATGAGCTATTTTAAGTGTGACACAAAACAAATGGGTATAAGCTACCCAAGAGCAAACCTGTGCTGGAAATAGAGAGAGGGCCTTTGGTAGTGGAATGCAGCTCTGGAGCAATTTTCCCATGAGAGTAGTGTGAAGGTCTGTGGGATTGCTTGAAGATGGGGCACTGGTTTGTAGAACCAGGGGGTGGGTCTCCCTGGTGTCCCACTCTGCATTCTGGCAAAAAGCAGCTATTGGTGACTCTGTGAAAGTAGGTTTAAGAAAAGGCAAAACAGAGAGAGGACAAAAGTGTGAGAAACAGCCCTGCAGGCACCAAGGTGAGAGAGGAAGGAGAGGG